ATGCTGCACCCAGAGCTCTGCTATCCTCCTGTATTGCAGAGGCGCTGCTGCTAATAGACAACTTTTAACCAGAGTCAATAGGCAAAGATTTTTGTGCCCAAGGGCGAAAATACGTCCCCAATCTGACAAAAAATGGAATAACGCTTTACTAGTTATTAAAGATTAAGTATTTATCTTATATATATAAAAATATATATATGAATATATTTCGAAATATTTTAAATGCTGATTTAAAATTAAATTATAAAAATATATATTTTTTAATGTCTTAATCAGGGTCATTGGGTGTGTGGGGCGGCAGCCTAGCGCCCTCTATTGGGCAGCCGCCACTGCGTCCATATATGATAGCTTTTTTTTTTTTTTTATGGTAGGTTTTTGCACAGGGTGTTGACATGGGTATTTATATAGATGGATATTTCTATATAAAGTTATTGCGCTGGGTGTCAAATAAAGAGAACCAGTTATTGCACAGGGTATCAAATATAAACTGCTCATTATACATTGCAGAAGTTGGGGGATTGCAAACCATTCTAATGTCTTTTAGACAAAAGCTATGAATCATTATCATGATAAGAAAAATAACAACAGCAGCTTTTTCTTTCTGTCAGAATTCACCAGGTTTTTATACGATGGTCTATCAGGATAGGCTCTGCAATGCTTAGCATGTAGCAAGAAGGCCTTGGTTCCTGGTCTTCCTGCATGCACTTTGCATCTCCTCTCCAGGTGTGTTAGGATTCTCTCTGAATGCTCAGACCAGTTTCATGTCAGCTAATAGAACGTCACCCTTAGAAACAAGGGTTTGTGTGTTTTTGGTTGTGTCTGTGTGTTGCCCTATGATGGACCTGTGACATGGTAGATTCTGGACGGTTTCCCGCTAATGACAGATATTTACCACCTTCCCAATGACTGAAGGCTTTTTTCACTCATGAAATTACACCACATTAATTTCACTATATTTTAGTTCAATTTATAATTTCTTTTGCACCAATATACAATACGTCCTCCTCAAGGCACTTTATAGAGACAATTCAACCAGATCATAAAGTCAGATTGATTTTCTATCTTAGGAAAACCAGGTGATTGTAAAGAGTCATTGACTTTGCACGTCACACTCTTCCTGGATGTGGTGACACAAGATTTTTTGCTTCTATTGTGTTGTTTATTATATGGGATTCCCTCACACCAAGCATGTATGTAGCTACAGTGGAAAGGAAAAACTCCCTTTGAACAGGAAGGAATCTTGAGCACAACCAGGACCAGGCTCAGTTTGATTGGTCTTCTAGGGAGGCATACTGGGGTTCAAGGAGACATAAGGAAACATGTAAGAGAAACGCAGAAGCACTGATCTATAAACAGTTTCTTTGTAAGAAACGGTAACAGCTAACTAGCCCCACAGGGGCTTCTGTCTAGCAAATTAAGTCTAGTCTAGAGTTAAAGTATAGGAGAGAAACAGGACTACACTGGAAAACAGGCCAAGCTCCAACATCTAGAAACAAAGGTGTTGATGGCAGCAGCACAGCTGATATTTCTCTCCAGGATGGAGTCACATAATATGCACTTAAAACAGGAAAATGCAATAATTTTTTCTTATTTTA